GAGGAAAACTGTCAGTTTTTACAAGAACAAGCGAAGCAGATCATCCAGAAGCTCAATAAGGTAGAATTCAGGTCAAGGTTACTGGAACAATCGTTCCTGTTTGAGGTTATATTAAATCAATATGCCTACGAAACCCAAAATCTAATGTCCATAGTTAACTCTGCCCTGGATGGCAAGATTCACACCAGTGTTTTCACTTCGAGCAAACTACTCACAGAATTAAGGGAAATAAAAATGAATCTTCCAGTAGGAACCTCCCTCCCGTTAGTAGTAAACACCGAATCTCTAACAGAGCTTATTCGAATCTCGGAAATAGCAATTTTCCATAGAGACGATCATTTAGTATTTGCCATAGGTATTCCTCTGATAAGTAACGAAGGATATACCATGTATCGCCCCGTTTCTCTGCCCATTCCGTACGACAAAAATACAGTAATTTTAATTGACCCTGAAGTCGACTACCTTGCTTTAAGTAATAATAATGAACATTTTTTTGTATTAGAATTAAGTCAATGGGAACTATGTATTAGGCTAGAATTATACACTCTTTGTAAGGGTGATCAACCAATACACCGCCGAACGGGATCTAGCTTGTGTGAAATTTCACGGTTGTCTAACTCGCAAAATACATTAGGAAATTGTAAAATTAAATTTGTAACATTAGACACACCCATTTGGAATCGATTGTCAAAAACCAATTCTTGGTTGTACTATGCACAACCACACACGTGTACGATTACCTGTTTAGAACATCTACAAAGCTATACCGTGGAGATCTCGGGCGTGGGTAGGTTGACCACCTCATTGTCATGTGAAATTTTTACGGAAAATTCTGTACTCGAAGAGTTAAATAAAAATGTTAGAAATGTACAAGCAGACGTAATCCCAGAAAATCCAAAGGTCAGTGTAATCTCTCTGTTAGCAGATATTCTACCATCTGTATTACCCCAAAATGTTTCAAACTTAAACCCAATAAAAAATCTAAACTCTTTAGCACATAAAGCAATCGAAATAAATAACCTCCAACGTAAGTCATTGGAGCCTCTATTTATATTCAAAGTCGAATTTCACTTTACAGTTATGTACATATCCATATTACTCATAACTCTAACCATAAGTATAGTCGTTGTTAAGTTTAAAAACCAGGTCATAAAAATGTATAGTCCAGAGGTAGCGGACAATATTCCAAACAATGAACAAGTTAACCCTTAAGTTTGTATAAAAAAAATTTGTATTGCCCTAAGTGTAGAATAAATTAAGTTTAAGCATTATAGACACCATGTGGCGGTATTGTAACTAGGTGTACCCGTAGTGTAAGAAATTTATGGAGTAGTAAATAAGGTCGCAGGGACTGCTCCAGTTTAACGCTGGGGGTATGTTGTAAACGGGTAACATGATAAGTATGAATGGGTTGACTCAGTCTAGTGGCGAGTAGTGCGTGTATGAGAACTGTCTGGTTCTCACGGACGCCTACGCGACGCCTACGAGACGCTGAGCGAACACATTCCGAAAGGCTCGGGACAGACCATGGGGACAGCCCCGCCAGCTAGAGTCAGTCGAGTCTGGTCAAAAGAGTGAGTAACACACGTGTTACTAAGCAGAGCATCCTTTATAGTTTATGACAGAGCCTCATATAATTTTTATCAGAACCTCTCATAATAATAGTTTTTTATTATATATATCAGTTCTTCAATATTTAATTTATTAAATCAGTAATAGTTTTATAATTATATACATTAATTCTTTAGTGTTCAATACAATAAATCGGTAATCTTATTTATAAGCAAACTGTGTGTTATTTTATTTGATGCCAACACCTACGGTTTTACATCATTCGACGGTGGACCACACTTCAGTTTAAACGGGTTTGAAAATTTGTTTTTCCCCAAAATTTACAAAAGAAACTGATTTTTGTTCACGTTGCTAAATAAAATTCGTTCATATTCATTTTTTTTTTATATTTTATGAAGGAAACAGTTCCAGCTTCATTCCTACAAAGATAACTCGTTTTAGGAATCGGGTCATCCTTTTAGAACGTGTTTTTTCTCGACACTGTATGAAATTATTCATAAATGTATACACATAATTTGATGCAACAGAAAGACATAACTATTCTAAATACAAATTCATACCTATTTTTCAATATCTTAGACATAATAGTGTATGGGGAAATAAAGAAAACTGGTTTTATTTATATTTTTTTCCCTTAATAGTGGGACAAATTATGGATTTTAGAAAATTTGATACCTAATGTCCTAATATTTCATTACCTACAAGATTTAACTTGTAATGGCTTACAGATTATTTTGATGATTTTTTGAATTACCTATCTAAATAATTATATTATACAACATTAATTGATGGAACGCTTTAAATTGTAAATAATACATTTTATTTATATACTTTTAGAAACTTGGAAGATGGAATAAAGGACTTCAACTTAGTTCTAGCTAACGAACAGAAAAATAAAGAAGAGTATTTGAATAACGTTTTGTACAAAACTAAAGCTTCGAATGAATTTTTTGATCAGTTTAATAAAACCAGTCGCTAATACACATATACCTACTTTTAGTCAAGTGGAAAATGTATTATTTTTTTTAAGTATTTCAATGACTCAATGTATCTGTAAACAATTTCAAAGTTATGATTGTAAAATATAATACAATATTGAACTCTGGTAAATATTAAAATATAAAACGTAGAAAAAAAAAAAAAAAAAAAAAAAAAACTAGTGGACTGTATAAGTGAAATAGCTACAATGTGTGTAACAATTTATTATAATAATTTGTGAAATAAACACTATTTTAATTGTTTTAAAATATGTGATTAATAATTTACATTACGTCGCGTATATCGACCGGCATTGTCACCGACGCGTCGTCGAGATCGAACTGGCGATCCGTGCTCTTTATTTCCCGACCCAGGGCGAGATAATAAGTACTATCAACATTCCCACGATAACGATGGTCGTCGATAATACTTAATACCTGAACATTGAACATAGGGGCCCCCTTGAAGCACAGTCTTCAATATAACAAAATAATTTAGGTCACGGTCGCTAATAGAACATAATAACGTATACAATAATTGAATAATTTAAGATAATATACAATTTAACCCACAATCAAAAGGGATACCTACTAAAAAAAAATATTATAAATAATAAGTTCATATAAATATTGATTGAATAAATTTACAATATCTAGTTGAACAACACAAAATAATAGGATAATAAATTAGTAATAATAATTGCCTTGGCTATAACATTACATTTATAAATTTAACAAATAAGTATTGATTTACACTTGTTTTCATATAAACATTTTTATTGTCCATCATTGTCGTCATTGTCTTGGATTGGCAATGGACACAACAATCTCACAGCTCTTTTCTTTGGCCCACTCGCTGTATTGACCATTGCAACTCGCACCACACCGTCCTTGCCCGGAAATATGTCGACTACGCGGCCTAGGTTCCATTGTAATGGAGGTAAATTGGTATCCTTTAATATTACCATTGAGCCCACTTTTATCGAGGGACCACGAGATGTGTCCCACTTATTACGTTCCTGAAGTTGACTCAAGTATTCAATACTCCAACGCCTCCAAATTTGCTGAGCAATGTTCTGAACCTTTTGCCACCGTGACAACAAGTTGTGAGTAAAATTACTTATGTCGGGCTCCGGCAATGACACGAGTGAGTCTCCTATTAAAAAATGGCCAGGAGTAAGGACGGAAAAATCAAGAGGATCGGTAGACAAGGGGGTGAGCGGTCGTTAGTTTAAACACGCTTCGATTTGCACTAGTAAGGTATAAAACTCGTCATATGTTAACTTTACTAGTGCCACGTTGCGGCTCAAATGTTTTTTTATGCTTCGTACGGCTGCCTCCCACAGGCCGCCGAAATGTGGTGCTCTTGGTGGAATGAAGTGCCATGTCATTTCGTGACTGGTCATTGCTTGATGAATTTGATCCTTATGGCTTTCGGATGACACCAATTGTTTTAAATCACTTAATTTGTTATTCGCACCTACGAAACATGTAGCATTATCTGAATTTATATTTTTGCACAGACCACGTCGGGATATAAATCTAGTTAACGCTGCGATAAATGCATCCGTGCTCAAATCGCATACCAACTCCAAATGCACTGCCTTTGTTGCAAAACATACAAATACACATATATATGCTTTTTGAGTTGCGGCGTTTCGTCGGTTGCTGCATTTCAGCATGAATGGACCTGCGTAATCAACACCACAGTTTTCAAAGCACCTACTTGGGCGGTTGACTCTAAACGTGGGCAAATTACCCATAACTGGCGACATATTTTTTGGTCGTGCTTTAAAACATGTTACGCACTGATGTATTACTTTCCTTACACATCTTCGCCCATTGATTGGCCAATATTTTAGGCGCACTGCGGCAAGCGTGGCATGTGGCCCAGCATGCATTAATTTTTTATGTTCATGTAACATGATTAATTTTGAAAACGATGTGTCGCTGGGTAGCACAATTGGACAACGTTGATCAGTATTGATATCCGTCGCGTTTGTCAACCTACCACCTACGCGCACGATTCCACTGTCGTCTATAAATGGATTTAACTTATTCAACTTGCTTTTTACCGACACATTTCGATTATTTTTTAACTCTACAATTTCTACAAAAAAATGTGCCCGTTGTATAATTTGTATAACAGTTTTGGTCGCCGATGCTACCTCGTTTACGTTCAGCGGTCCGATAACTCGAGAGGTATTATTCCGTTTCGATAACGCGTTATTTTTGTAGCGTAATAAATACGCAACAACGTGTAGTAATTTGGTCAGCGACGAATATTTATTAATATCTAACGACACGTCTCTTTGTGAGGTGCACACAACGATTGGTGCAGTCTTTTCCTCACTTTGAACTTCATTAACGTGTTCCATGTTTTCTGTGTATGACGTTGAACACTTAAACGTTTTACTTTCCAGCCATGACGGACCATGCCACTAACCTAACCTAACCTAACCACTGTGTGTTATATTTTAGTTCGCTAGGCGTACACCCTCGCGACAACACGTCTGCTGGATTGTCATTCGACGTCACATGCCCCCACTCCGCGCGATCAGTCAACGTATGGATTTCGCCTACACGATTCGCAACAAACGTCTTCCACTTGCTTGACTCCGCGGCTATCCAAGCTAGCGTGACAGTCGAATCAGTCCATAAATATCGCCGTGATATATTCAATCGAAGAGCGGGTATAATTACGTCTATTAGGCGCGATAAGAGCAGCGCTGCACATAATTCTAATCTGGGGATTGAAATAACATTTACTGGCGCAATACGAGACTTTGCACACACTAATTGCGATTTAATGATGCCTTCCGTATCTGTCGTACGCATATATATACATGCACCGTATGCTTTCATTGATGCATCAGCAAATCCGTGTATTTCTATTTGTTTTTTCTTGTCGGAGCCCAGCCAACGGGGTATATTAAACGAATTAAGCTCATTTAAATAATTATTGTATGTTTCCCACTCCAATTGTATGTGTGGTGGAACTGGGCTGTCCCAACCGATTTTTTCACGCCATAAACTTTGTAACAATATTTTTCCCACCAATATTACCGGACCTACTAAACCTAATGGGTCAAATAACGTCGCTAGGCCGGCAAGAATGTGTCTTTTTGTTGCTTCAGTTTTTATTTTCGGTGCTTGTACGACGTACGTGTAGTAATCACTTTCCGGTTCCCAATATAAACCTAAAGTTTTCACGCGTTCTCTATCCATCGATATGGTCGTTAATTCATTTTTATTATGCTTTGGAGATAAATCTGTATGATTCGTTGTCCATTTTGATAGTTCAAATCCTACACTTTGCATAATTGAAATTAACTCGTTGCGTAATTCTATTGCTTCCATCAATGTATCTGCCCCGGTAAGACAATCGTCAACACAAAAATCATTCTTAATTATTTCTTTTAACTTCGTGTTTGTGGTCTTGTCGCTGATGCGGTTGACGCAACTTATTGCCAAAAAACCAGCTGGCGCTAACCCATAAGTAACAGTGCATAGTCTATACACCTTAACTTCATCATTAGGATCTGATCTCCATAATACACGTTGATAGTCACGATCTTCCTCGTGAACTAACACCTGACGATACATTTTCGTTATGTCTGCCGAAAATGCATATTTATGTGTTCTAAACCGTACCACGATTTCAAATAAGTCTGGTTGTACTTTTGGTCCGTTCATTAGTATGTCATTTAATGACACACCACTACTAGATTTGGCCGACCCGTCAAACACCACGCGTAATTTTGTCGTTCTACTACGATCGTTAATTACGTATGAGTGTGGTAGATAAAAACATTTTGTGTGATCGATTACCTGCTTATCGCCGCCCATATCATAAACACGTTCCATATGATTAAGACTTTCGTACTCACTCATAAACATTTTATACTTCGTGTACAGTTCGGGATTTTTTACTAATCGTTTTTCTAATGAAAGAAATCTTCGTAGAGCTGCATTGAATGAGTTACCAATATGATGACAATTTTCTTTGAACGGTAGTTTAACAATAAATCTCCCGTCCTCATTTTGTGCGAGGTTCGCGTTAAAATGTGTTATGCACGATTTTTCTTCGTCAGTGAAATTGTGCTTCGACGATAGTTCCTCCATTTTCCAAAATAACTCTATTTTGTTATCTAATAATTGGTTATTGATTTTGAGTTGTTGACAAACACGAATTTAATTTTCTTACACTTGATTTTGTCGATGTCTTGCCTACGACGACCCATCCGAATAACGTTTTTTGTAAATACGGACCGTCTTTGGTTTTTAACTTCTCATCACACATTATGTCCCAATAGGTATCACCTCCGATGAGAACGTCAATACTTCCCGGACAATTGAATGAAGGATCCGCAATATTTACGTTGTCGGGGACGCTTATAGTGTGTATAGGTTCTTGTGGTAATGACCCTGTTATTTTAGATAACACTAAAAACTCGATTGTTGTTACGTACGAACTATTTAGTGATTGTACAATAGCTGTTACCTTGTGCTTAATATTATTCTTGGACTCACTTATTCCACATATCGGAATATTTACCTTGTGACGTTTGAGTCCGAGTTTGTGTACCAGATTATTTGTAATAAAATTAGTTTGAGACCCATTATCAAGTAATGCCCGGCCGTGTATATAACTGCCAGCCGAACTTGATATCTTTATTATTGCCGTTGCCAACAGTACTTGATTGTCGGTTTCGCCGGCATCTGCGGTATGCGCAACTACTAGCTCATCGTTTGACCCGTTACTTTGTGTACTTCCTTCATCGGAACTTGGTTCTTTATCTTGATGTAGTAGTAAATTATGTGGTTTTTGACATTTTCCACATTTTCTAGCGGGACACTGTTTTACTTGATGGTCAGTTTTCTTTAAGCAATTACTGCACAATTTCAACTCATTAACTTTGTTTATTCTGGACGCTATATCAAGTGCCAGAAATACAGTACATCTATATATTGGGTGCGGTTGCTGACACATATAACATTTCATTTTATACGTTGTTAAAAATGTAGATGCACCTTTTTTTGAAGCTCCAAATTTTGAGATTTTATTTGACAAACAATTTGGTTCATTTTGCTTAAATGTTAATAGTTTTGCGTTTTCTACAGACTCTAACATTTGACTTCTTTTACCCAGGAACTCCATCATTAATTGTACACTCGGTAAGTCATCTCTTGACACTTCGGCTTCCCATTGACGTATTGAATTTGTGTCAAGTTTCGTGTATATGACATGTAGTAGTAATGCACCCCAGCTGTGTGGGTCATGATTTAAAGCTTTTAATGCTTGTATATGTGCATTTAGCGAGTCAGTTAATTGTTTTAACTTAATGGCCGATTCTTTATTAATAGGCTCCAGGTCGAAAATGCGCTTCGTGTGTGTTTGAATCAACATACGAGTATTATTGTATCTCGTAGTGACTATTTTCCATGCAATTTCATAATTTGATGACGACGTTTCTAAATTTTTAATTAATGAACTAGCTTCGCCTTCTAATGCATTTCTTAAGTAACAAAATTTCTGAATATCTGATATTAATTTATTTTTATGTACTAATGCACAAAATATATCTTGAAACGTAACCCAATCATCGAATTTGCCCGTAAATGTAGGAATTTCTAACGCTTTAAGTTTTATTAATGGAAAATTATGACTATTTGTGACTTCACTTTGATCACCCTGTATTTGTTGTCGATTTTGCGCAGGCGCGTTGCTTCTCGATAATCTATCGTCGACTTCTGACATTACATCGAAATATAGATTTTCGAATGCAGACCTATATTGTAATTGGTCATTATTACTATCGTCTAACATTTCGATATTGTTTTGAATTGCGTCGAATTCGGTCCATGCTTCACGAATTTTCTCGGCCCTTAATCTTAATTGTGTTAAAACGTTGGACTTTGGGTCGTTCAGAAACGTTTGAAAACGAGTGAGCTGCGCTTTTATCTGTCCACGACGTAGAACGAATGCAGTCAGTTCGTCGGTATCACCAGTCATTATGATCGACCTTTACCCGCTGTCTACCGATTTTACCGATATGATATTGTGGATATTATGGACTTAAATAATGTATTCCCCAACAATGTTTATTTTTACGCAAGGACAGGATATTATAAATTATGGAAATAAGCCATTTTAATTTTAATAGTTGCTAAAGTGCTATAGACTCACTCACCTGTCAGCTGTCTTGATCCTTGAATTGCACAGCTTCACCTCTTGATCTTCCACCGTGAATCAAATTTGCTACAATGTGTGTAACAATACTGACGCACACGATTCGATCCGGCTCGAAGGACCAATGTTTCGGCTCAGTTAGAATTTGAATGAATTCATAAAAAAAACTAGTGGACTGTATAAGTGAAATAGCTACAATGTGTGTAACAATTTATTATAATAATTTGTGAAATAAACACTATTTTAATTGTTTTAAAATATGTGATTAATAATTTACATTACGTCGCGTATATCGACCGGCATTGTCACCGACGCGTCGTAGAGATCGAACTGGCGACCCGTGCTCTTTATTTCCCGACCCAGGGCGAGATAATAAGTACTATCAACATTCCCACGATAACGATGGTCGTCGATAATACTTAATACCTGAATATTGAACAAAACGCATTAACTATAATAAAATATACGCCTCCTGCTTCTCTAAAGCCTAATTTTAACCATGTATCTCAATACACAGGCACAGTAGCCCTGTGTGCATACTCTACAACACCATGATATAATTAACTATGTAACTATGTTAATTTTATCATGCGCTACACGTACGTTTTTTCCGTCCTAAATCATTAAAACATATTAGCCCTTAAGAATCGCTCTCTTTTGGACTGCAGTCTGTAATATTATCACATAAAAAAAATCATTGATAACTTATTAAACATGTTCAATATGACAATATAGCAAACGTTCACTCAGTAACCAAATGTTGAGGTTTTAAAAAAAGTTTAAATATAGGTACCAAATATTTGACATTTATTTTAATAACAATTATTGTGTTAACTAGTTAACTATTGTTGGTTACTATAAGAAATTCACAAGGTACAACAATTATCGATAATTCAATAATTAAGATAAGGTAATATAATACCTTATCTGGTATTATATTACCTTATCAATGTGTAGGTACCTCTACAAGTAAATTAATATACAGTCCACTAGAACTTAAACGAGTAGGTTCTCGTAGGCTCGTTGACAAAATAAATATTGATTTTACTTGGATATATATTTGGCTCCAACTGGAAACTACTTGAAAATTCTACAACTAGTGGTTCTACTTCAATTATGTAACAACCGAGTAACTGACAATGCAAAATTCCAATTAAAAAATATAAATGCCTATAACAAACCCCTTAAAACGAAGATATAAATCTGGTTAAATTTGGTTTTAATCTGTTCTTTAATGCAGCATACTCAATAAGTAGTTCCTCTTTTTACTAATATAAAAAATTGGGCAAGTGCATACAGCTCGTTCACTGATTTCATTGATTTCAAAATTGTAATTATGTACCTACCTACTTTATAGTTAATTAATTACCTATTCGAATCCGCAAAATAAAATTTCATATTTTTAACTGCGATGACTTGATATAGATTTTCATATTACCTAGCATTTTCAGCATTGATAATATATTCATTCTTGGAAATTGTATATTAAAACAAATATCAATGAATACAATAAATTGTTAATGTTAGATTATTAAAATAAACACAGAGAAGAAATTATTAGGCTAAACCCGTTCAAAATCATTTCACAGTATCCAGCACCAGGATAATGAACCATGTCAAAAACATGATTAAAAAATCAATGTGCGTTTTTTCCACAACAGTTTAAGCGATTACATTTTTAGAACCAATTGATACTCATTACTGTAAACTATTATTATTATTACTTCCGCAGTCGGAAAAAACGAACATTTGACTTGTAATTTGTATAATTCGTAGAAAAAAAGTAGCCTAGTTTCATGAGCAAATAGACAAAAGTGAGTTAGTGAGTATTTGTGTTAAATCGGTCAACGGGATAAGTTGTGTTTGCGTTAAACGGAAAACGCGATGGAACAGGATAAAGACTACATACTACCTTTTGAACCTTCCAATTGGGAAAAATGGAAGAGATCTATAATGATATTTATATTGTCTCAAAATATAACTAAGGATACACAAAAGCAAGCTATCATACTGCACAGAGGTGGACAAGAGCTACAAGATATTTTTTTTTGGAATACCAGAGCATGGTAATCCACCTGATGGAACAACGGTATTTCAACACACAATAAATTTGTTAGATCTGCACTTTATACCAAAGGTAAATCCAGTATTTGAAAGACATGTTTTCAGGAAAATAAGACAAGAAATTAATGAGTCAGTCGGACAGTTTATATCAAAGCTAAGACAACAAGTAGCTAAATGTGGTTTTGCTGATGCTGACACAGAGATGTGTGATCAAATTATAGAACATTGTACATCTGACGAACTTAGACGGAAATTACTCGAGAAAAATAACTTGAGCTTGTCAGAAATCATAGAAGAGGCCAAGCGGTTCGAGTTAGTAGTGCAACAAGCAGATACACTTGGAAAAAACGGAAAAGAAATGGTAAATAAAGTTACAAAGTATGAAAAAAAAAGCAGTATAAAATGGAAAAGTTGAAAACCAGAAGTAAGGCATGTTACAGATGCGGGAACGAAAATCACTTAAAAAATGATCCTAGTTGTCCGGCGAAAGACAAAAAATGTGGGCGTTGTGGTTTAATCGGGCATTTTAAAGCGTACTGCCGAACAAAGTTAACTGCAAATACAAAAGAGCCAAGTAAAAGATATTCACAGCAAATGTCGAGGAGTAATAAAATAAATGCAGTCGAAGAAGCAAAAAGTGACGATGAAGCTATAGTGTTCCAAATATCAAAAAAAAAAGATTTGGTGACAAATGTGGTAATATGCAAAGTTGGTGGCACAGATGTTAAATTCTTAATTGATTCAGGATCAAGTTGTAATATAGTATCAGAACAAACCTGGAAAAGAAATAAAATCAATTATGAAAAAAAAGAAAGTTAAGTATCTCAAAAGTTATATGCATACTCTAGCAAGAAACCACTTGAAGTCATAGGAAAAGTTAGAACAACAATCAAGGTATCAGACCGTGAAGAAATAGTGGACATATTTGTGGTAAAAGGTAATAACCAATCATTACTAGGGTATGAAACTTCAGTAAAGTTGGGACTCTTAAAAATTGGGTTAAATATAAATGAAATAACGTCAAAAACTTTTCAATACAAAAGTAAATACCCAAATCTGTTTAATGGGATTGGCAAGTTAAAAGGAAAACAGGTTCAAATGCACATCAACGAAGTTATCAAGCCAGTTGCATAACAACATAGAAGGATTCCAATACATTTGAGAAATCAACTAGAAAATGAACTACTAAGACTTGAAAAATTAGACATAATTGAAAAAGTGGATGGACCAACACCCTGGGTCTCTCCCATAGTCTTAGTTCCTAAAAAAAATGGAGAAGTAAGACTTTGTGTTGATATGAGAAGACCAAACGCACCCATCGAAAGAGTGCGTTACGTGACCCCAACTATTGACGATATAATAAGTGCTGTTAATGGGTCGAAAGTATTTTCAAGTTAGAGTTAGAGTTAGAGTGTGCTTCAAGGTCTATTACTACATTTAGCACCCATGTTGGCTTAAGACGATACAAAAGACTGAACTTTGGAATTAACAGTGCCGCAAAAGTTTTCCAAGACGAAATTAGACAGGTACTTGTAAATATTCCACATGTAATGAACGTTAGCGATGACATACTGATATATGCCAAATCTCAAGATGAACACGACAATATCTTGGAAAAAGTACTTAGTCGGTTACAGGAAAAAGGACTGACATTAAATTATGAAAAATGTTTATTCAGTGTCAAGAAGCTCACATTCTTTGGGTACCAGTTTAGTGAACAGGGCATCAAGATATATAAAAAAAAAAATCGAAGCATTTATACAACTCAAGCCACCATCAAATGTGTCTTAGGTAAGAAGTGTACTAGGCATGATAAACTACTGTGGAAGATTTATTCCAAACCTAGCAGAGAAAACAAAACCATTAAGAAATCTAATTACAGCAAACAGACAATGGTCATGGAGCACCACAGAACAAACAGCATTTGAAGAGTTAAAAGAAAGTATTGTTAAAAATGTAAGTAACGCTTACTATGACATACATAAACAAACTGAATTAATTGTTGACGCAGGACCAGAAGGCATTGCTGCCATTTTGGCACAATCACCGAATAAGATAATTGCTTGTGCAAGTAAGGCACTAAACCAAGTTGAAAAAAGATACTCACAGATAGAGAAGGAAACTTTAGCTGCAGTATGGGCGGTTCAACATTTCAAATTGTATTTATTGGGTTCCAATTTTATACTAAACACAGATAACAAACCGTTAGTTTCAATCCTAAGCAGTCAAACAAAAGAGACATCTGTAAGGTTGGAACGATTCAGATTAAAGCTACAAGGATACAACTTCAAAGTAGTACATACGAAAGGTAACACGAGTACCTGTGTAATTATAATTACAGGTATTATTATTATTATATTATAATTATAATAAGGTATTATTATTATTATATTATAATTATAATAAGGTATTATTATTATTATATTATAATTATAATAAGGTATTATTATTATAATTATTACTTATAATAATAACGGTGAGTACCTATGACAACTAACTCCTTCGTGATTGACATTGGTGATATTGGTTATATATTTTTTTGTACTTTATCCATTTCAAAATATAATTAATATAATTTAAAAACGTTATCTTATATTCTTATATTTTTATGATGTACATTTATGGCCCAATCTATATTATAATCTATAATATTGTTAGCATAACAACACGACATTTGTTTCACATCAATTAATTGACAAGAAACCGTTATGGAGGTGAAACTACAAGATATAATTCTTGTCCAAAGTAGGCCCATTCGA